TTACTGGCACTGATAATTTTTACCTCAGTCACTGTTTTCTTACATAGAATATCCCCAAAATTCATTTTAACATGCCTGAAGTATGTTTTGTGTTATGGTTGAATAAAAAATGCATGTGCTTAAGGTTGCTCCTCTAACTAGGTTCTACAGCAATAAATATTCTGGTTCCCCAACCAAAATCTTCTAGAAAAATATTTAGTTGGCTTTGAGTAGATGCACATGAGATATTGGCATGGTGGAATAATTTGCAAGATCTTTCAGTGAGGGTATTAGCATATAAATAGCAGATGCAATGACGACCATCACAGCTGAGTACATTTAATTTTTAGTTTATAAGATAGAATGGGTTTTTAAATGCATAGCCATCAAGCCTGCTGAAAGACAAATGAAGTTTAGAGTTCACTTGTCTGAGGATGCCTTACATCATTTTTTTTTAGAAAAGGGAAACAGGCACGCATAAAACTGAACAAAAGTGATTTCTTGGGTGAAAAGTAATTGAGATTGCAAACCAAGTTAATTAGACCATGCAAAATTTATTTAATGGTCCCAGCTGTAGTTTGCAAGTGGTGTTTTAGTGAGTAGATGTGACTTCTTCATGTGCTATCTTTTCTCTTCCTTCTTTTTCTAAAATAATTAGCAGTGGCTGTACATCTAGTCCCATAAACTGATTGCATTGTATATTTCAGTAATTTTATTGCTTGCTTTAATTATGATTGCAGAGACTCAGGTTTTTAAATCCTCTTAACAGAATGTAGCAGTCAATTTGTATAAAAGTGGGCAAAGGATCAAGGGCTTTTCTTCACATCTTGCCAAGTGCTGTGTGGTGGGTGGAGGCTTTTTTTACATTTATTACTGGTTGGGATGGGGAACAAGGCCTTGTGCTGGGGCTGTGGTTGCCCTGAGCTGCACTAACAGATGGAGGCTGTTGGGCACCGACTGCAAAGTGAAAGAAACAATGGCATTTCTACTGGCATCCAGTGCTTTTCCCAGCTTTTTTAATAATGCAGAGTAATAAGGAAACATCTGTTTTTTTCAAGTTTGCTTTTTTTTTTAATGAGTTAGGGAGGAAATGGTTTGATTGCACTTGTCTAGTTGGAATAGTCAGCACTATTTTAAGTTTTTAGTGAAAAATCTGGAAAATTGTGAACATGTTCTAAGTGATTACTGTGAAAATAATGCATGTATGTTTTCTGTCTTTTTTGAAACCGTATTCTTATATGGAAATAAGTCCAGCTCAACACTCTGAAAATTGCCTTGCTAAATCCCATTACTTCTCACAGGAATTTTAGCTACCTAGTCAGTGATCCTACCATCTTAAAGAAACCAACAACCAACACATAGTTTTGCAAATGCATCATTCTATGACTTAGATAAATAAATACAGAAATAAATATCAGCATTTCAGAGCAGATTAACAGGCTAAAAACCCCCTTTGCTTGGAACCCGAGGAGCAGTGGTGGTGCAACAGCCTCCGCTGTGTGGGGATGTGGTGGCCGTTCCCCAGTGACAGAGAGGGGCTGTTCCCCCTCCATCTGTGATAACTGTGTTAGACTTCCCTCATATCACCTGATAATTAGAATGGATCTGAACCCAGGAGCTTCTTTCTCACATTCTTTGACAGGTGATTGAGAAACAAGCAGTTTGTGACTACCTATCTTCGAGGTATTTAATCTCGTACACTACAAGAAAAGCTTTCCATTGTGGTATTTATCACTTGCTCTTGTGCTTTACTTCCCTTCAGCCATGGCACACTAGAAATTTCATTTGTTTTTATCTTAGTCTCCTTTGTCATGGTTGCAAGTACCCTAACCCCTCATTCCTAAAAAGATTATAATTTACTTAATCAGCCACTTAAAACTATTGTCTGAAATATTTCTGTCTTCTAATTTAATGGTGGATTGTTTATTTTTATTTTTTAATTGACTGAAAAAGTTTTCCTGTAGTGGAAGCATAGGCAGGAGGGGGTTGAGCTTTCCCACTACCCCTGTAGAAGTTGCTTTTTGGAACTTTAAAAAACCCATACTTTTCTAACTAGTAATATTGCCCATGAGCTCTCCCACTTTCTCTTGCAAGGAAATGGAACAAACATACATAAATGGGATGGTTCTGATAAAGTCCCACTGGAATGAAGTAAATTGAGATATAACTACCTGCTATTACTGTGCAACTTCTTGAATTTCCAACTCTGACGACTTCAATATTTTAAAGTAAAAAGATAACTTATTTACCTTGTTAAGGATTTTATCAAGATAAGGATTTTGTCTGTTTGAAGGGAAAAGAGGGCTTAATTCCTGATAGTTAGCTAAGCAGTTAATTTTTTTTTTTCAGGAAATCTAAATTTCATAGAAGGCTCCAGGGAAATTCAAGGGTGTGAACAATACGCATAATATTTTATGAAAATGACCCCCATATTTAAAATCTGGCATTATATGTTATGCATTGTAGCACCAAGTCCACATCTACCTTTTAGAAAATTAAAACACATAAATTCTGTTTAGTGTTTGATATGTGCTGCACTAGCTGAAAGCCATAATGCCCCTAAAACCTTGGGTTGCTTTTCACCTTTCATAAATTCCTGGGTAGATTCTATACAAAAAATAATTTTCAGCTCCGTGGCTCATTGTTATTCAAAGTTGATTGATTGTCGTCATTTACCCAGTGAGGAAGTTAAGTGCTCCTGTCATTTCTGAAGAGTATAATTGGGACGTTTCACAGGTCAGTGCTAGTGACAGGTTTCCCTTTTGATTAGTGTTAGACTGATAACAAAAATTACAGTTTCCTATGATTAATGTTTTCTATAGTACTTGAATGCACAGTTCATGGGTTGTACCTAAACAAAGTGAATTTGCATCTGATTATGCCTTTTCTCTGCCAGGCTTTTCACGTGCTTTGAAGTTTTAGATCATGCAGGCAATACAGCAAAGTTGCTTCCAGTGCAGTTTTCACGTGGAGGATTAGTGAGATCCACTGAATTTTAGAATATTACCATATAGAGAGATATGTGCCTCGAGTGATATGAACAAATTAGGTGAAATTTCAATTAAAGATAGTACTCTGCTTTCCCTCCAGTCTCTCAGATAGGACATGCAAGGAAGTACTGATATTGTATCCCTGCTATTTTAGGTATAATCTGGCAATTTAAGTTATCAGGCTGGACTGAGTTTTGTCCTCTTGTTGTCTAACACTATTTCTCTGTTCCTTAAACCTGTTGCTGTTTATTTGTTTACAGACTGAGTCAAAACAAAGGGAATACACTGAATTTACTTTCCCTTTTTATGATATGAAAGTTAGTCAGTTTGTACATTATGACGCAAAGTTGCAGACTGAGATAATCTATGACAAAATTTATCTTGGTGAAATCTTTTTTTAATAGCTAGGTAAGAAGTGGAACCTGAACATGAAAATTATGATGATGTCCTGCTTGTGGAATTTTACTTCTAACTTGTACCATTCATTCATTGTGTGTTAATGTGTATCTTTGTATTAACACCAATTAACATTCTTTGTTAGAAATTAATACAGTCCAGTTTACAATTAATTATGGCCCAAAAGAAATACTGGGGGTTTTAAAGTTATTATTTATTTTAATTTTTTAACCAGATTTGATAAACCAAGGTTAGCTGCTGGATTTTTGGCTTCAGAGTATATGTATGATTTAAAGGAACTCGGCTGTGACACAAGATTAGAGTAGTGAATTAGATTGGGGAAATTCTGCTGCAGGCAAAACCTGCAGTATGCTCTGGTGCTGGTAACAGTGAGTAGTTGGTATGAATATTAACAGAAGCCAGGTGCACTAATAGAAGTAAAGAACACAGCTGAAAATAGTGAAAATTATGCTATTCCTTGTCAGTTGGGTTGCTGCAGTGAAGTGGAAGTGATAGCCTGTGCTGAGGTTGGATTTAGTGGATACCTTTTACTGTTTTCTTGTAAAAGCACATGGCTAACATACAATAATAAAGTGCTAGTTGTGTTGTTGGGAATGAGGTGACTCTGAGCATGGGCAAAGGAAATAAAGCTTAAAGTCTCCATCATTGTTGCCTTTCTAGTCTAGTTGGCATTTGCCTTTTTAAAGCTCTGATAGTACAGGCCATGTCTGGTGACACAGATTCTTTTAGCTAATATGCAATTTAGAAATAAAAATCATTTTCAGGTATGGAACAAGCTTAGAAAAAGTATAGATTTGATGGCACATATACATCAATTGCTAGCTAAAATTGTACATAGGAAGCCACTTATGTGGATGAATTACACTGGTTATTGGAACTCCATATTTTTTTTTCACCTACTCATAGATCCTTAATTTCAATCTGTAAGACAGACCAAGTGCACATTTAGGAAAATCCTGTTTTGTTGGTCTTTATCAGAGTACTGTGTGCTGTCTGGTGGTGTAAATGGTTGGGATGTACCAAATCAGTTAAGAAATAAATGTGTGAAATTATTCTTAGGGCTGTTGTGAAGAAACACAATGAACCACTGTAGTATACAGATCTGAATATTCTTATTGGGGTCACTTTTAGCTTGCCCATTCATCAGCTTCCCTCCTGTTTGCCTGCTCAGGTTTTGAGCTCTTAAACAATTTGTGATACCATTTAACCTGCCACAGATTGAGTGCTGGTAAATGAGTAAAATCATCAGAATGAGAAGAGTTAAGACTGTAATTTGCTCATTAAGTCAAAATCTTGGTGTTATTTTAAGATTTTTTGGTCTTATTTTATAGCTTCACACTTTGTCAGACTTCACCAAGTGCATGTGTTCTAATGGATAAAAGGGGCTTTAAGGAAGCCCTTAGGATAGAGAATGGCTTTAGAGATAAAATGTAAAGCAAAGGCCTGATCTTAGATAAAGATTAAATACATAATTAGGGAAATACTTTTGACATAGAGAAGTCTCAGTAGGGCTATCAGGATGTTTGCAAAATATTTTCAGTGTGAAAGGAAATGAAAAACAGTCTTCACATGAAAATAAAGAGAAAATAACCCCAACAAAAATAATCTCTGTAGATGAAAGCCTCGGATGATGATGATGAGGATGATGAGGATGAAGATGAGTTTGTGGAGGTCCCTGAGAAGGAAGGTTATGAGCCCCACATTCCAGACCACCTGCGGAAGGAATATGGTGAGTTTGCCCAGCTGTGACAAGCTTTATCCCTGCGTGTTACTGCTGCCCCAAGGCAAATAAACAGCCGTGCTGAGGTAATAAAGTGATCAGCAGTGTGGGTGGGTAATCTCTGCCTGCTCTGGGAAGTCATTACATGGACACCAGAGCAGTGGTTGGCTCTGGATAAACAAACACTTCAGGGGCAGGAGCAGCTGAGACGAGCAGCTTATTCCATGCCATCATCTTCCTCAGGAGCTCAGAGGCAGGAGCAGCACCCTGTGTGCTTGTAGGGGTGCAGAGCAACATCATCTTCCACAGCTCATTCCATTCCATTCCATTCCATTCCATTCCATTCCATTCCATTCCATTCCATTCCATTCCATTCCATTCCAATCATCTTCCTCAGGAGCTCAGAGCCAGGAGCAGCACCCTGTGTGCTTGTAGGGGTGCAGAGCACACGTCATCTTCCACAGCTCATTCCATTCCATTCCATTCCATTCCGTTCCTCAGGAGCTCAGAGGCAGGAGCAGCACCCTGTGTGCTTGTACATCTTCCACAGCTCATTCCATTCCATCCCATCCCACTCCATCCCATCCCACTCCATCCCATCCCACTCCATCCCATCCCAC